TCCTGACCACACGACATATACAGGTCCCCGACTTACATATATCAACCTACCCTCGGATCCTCTAAAACAAGAATGGGTCCGTGCCACCCGAGAATACAGTACACCACCAATCCAGCCCATTGCCACGTGGGTACACGCTATTCCCACCATCTCTCCACTCCCAGTGCGCGAGTAACCATTCTTGTAATAGAATAGCCAAGTTAAGGCTTACCGGAGTATGTGGTTAGTACTACAAAATCTCACCTCATGCAATTCAACAACGGACGGACCTTAATCGACACAGGCGGAAAGAACCCGCTCACAAGACCTCCATGTCTTGTGGCTCACACACACCGAGTCCGCCCAGTCTAGATTTATTACTCCACATTCCCAGATCACATGTTAACATAATTAACCAAAGTTCCATTTAAAGTTCGCAGGTGACAGGTAATCACCCGACTTTCATCGTTCTAAGCATAGCTAAGCAAAACTAAGCATATACGAATTTAAAACTAGTAATATGGTAAATATGGAATAACAAGGTTGGGAATGTACCAATTTGGTTTTCACTTGACTCCTAATCACTTAATGTAGTAAAAAGAAGCAAAAGCGAAATCAATTTGTCAAATACAAGGTAGGGTTGTATGCATCCGGGGCTTGCCTTCGTTGATGGAAAAGTCCGGGTCCGGAGTCGTTCCACCGATATCAACACCAACCACCACTGACGGATCAACTTCCTCAACTACTTGATTAACTACCACGTGTTCACCTTCGTTCACTACATGTAGTAACAATGCCATGTTTAACATGATGCGGAATACGAAACATGATGCTCGATGATGGATGCAAAATTAACAACTTGAATACAACTTTCCTTCGCCGTACAGTTACAAGTTAAACTAACTAAACCATTTTTGCAACACTCACAACAATTGCCAAGGATCATCACCAACTAATGACCCAAGGACATCACTTAATCAAAAACTCAAACAAAACCTAAATCACTAAAGGTTACTATTCACTTTTAAGAATTAATTAATTAATAATTATGAAATAAATCAACTTGTTCCAATTGAGCTCAAAATTTTTGTAAATGCTCATCACATGAAAACTAAGTGGCAAAACAATTTACATATTTTTTTAATACATAAATAAGCCTAGAAAAATCATGGAAACTCATTTATTAATTAATTAAGCAATTTTTATCACATTCAAAAAGTGCTGAAAATTAACATTTCATATTTTTCCTAAATAATACACATCACAGAGAAGTCACACAAAAATTTTTAGAATTTTTGGAGCTCTAAATAAATTTACACAAATATAACAAAAATAGATACTATTCATTCAATTCTGAAAATAGAAAAATCCAATTTGAACACTGTGTCACTGACATCGGGTCCCACCTGTCATCCCTAACCTCGCGCGTTTGACCACGAAGGCGACGGCGCTGACCGACGTAAACTCGTAGACGGTGAGTCCAACGGCGACGGCCAAAGTACCAAAACGATCACCAAGACTAGGAGCATCGATTGACGTCCCTATCTGTACTGATTACGGCCCTATACTAGCTCGACGACGGCCATGGCAGATGCGGTGGCACGGCAGCGCTACGCTGGCGATGTGAAACCAGTAGAGCTCAAACAAAGGATCCAGGAAGCACCAGCAGCTCACCCCGAACACGTTGAAGCAAGGAGAGAGGTCGGAGATGCAACGGAGAGGCGTGACGATGACCACGGTGATCACGGCGGAGCAAAGATCGTCGGTGAGGAAAAACCGGTGACTGCATTGATCAAAACGAGCAAGCAACATAGGATTAAGCACCACAGCATCGAGACGAAGCCGTAGGTACACCGATCAAGGCCGACGGCTCACCGGAGTAGGCTGGCCGCGGTGAAACGGAATCTCGGGTGAGGTTGCCGGCCGCGAGGAAGAAAGCGACAAACGGCGAACTCACAACGAAATCAATCGACCAGAGCTAGCTGGCTGGGTGCGTAAGGAGTAGGCGAAGCTATCTAGCGCTATGTCGCGACGGCGAAGGCGCTGGTTCGACGGCGAGGGCTCAACTGAGCAGCGGCGGCGGTGACTAGAAAAACAGAGGAGAAGAGAAAGCGAAGAACGGCGACGGTGGCTGGCTTATAACGCGACCAAGGAAGCGCAAAGAATCCACGCGGAAGCCTTCACCGTGCCAATGCGACGCCCAGACGGCCACGCGCGTGACTGGAAGCAAACCGAAGCTCGCCGACGGTGTAGCTCAAGCGGTGAACACTGTTCATCGAAATTACAGAATTGCCATTTGCCAAATTTCACAAATTACTCCCAAATTTTCATAACTAAAAAATCTCCAAAAACAAAAGTTGTTCAAAATCAAAAGCTCTACAACTTTGCTTTTGAAACCATACCCAAATTCGGCCTACATTTTGAAATGAACTTTTTAATTCAAAGCGGGGATATTTAAGGAATTTCGCCTTTTTAAATAACTTCAAATTTTACTAAACAGCTTAGAAAACTCCAAAAACAAACTTTGTACAACTCGACAAGCTCTACAACTTTGCTTTAAGACTCAACCCCAAAATGTGCTTTGATTTTGAAATGGGTTTTCAGGGTCGGATTTAAATATTGAAAATCAGGGTTTTCGGAATTTCAAATCAATACAAAGATTTCAAACTTGATTCAAACAATACCAAGCAATACTTATAACATAAATGTAAACTTGTTTTAGTGAATGCATAACAAAGTTTGCAATATGACCAATGCCTTGCAATGCATATGATGATATGTCCAGTTTTTAATACTTAAACACCCAGGGTGTTACAACTACTAAGTGCTAACACATGAAAACTAGTATCTATACTAACTACCATTACTACTACAAACTAACTAAACCATAACTACCTAACCAATCCCTAAACCCAAAGTCCTAACTAACAATAGCTTAAACCCTAATCCCCTAATCCTAACTAACAAAAACCTAAACCCTAAATTACTAACCAAACCCTAAACCCAATATCCGAACTAACAAAAACCTAAAGGCTAACAACCTAACCATACCCTAAATCCTAACTACTTAACTATACCAAATCACTAACACTAATCAATTGATTCAAAAATTAATCACCAAAATGAGGGTCTTCGAGGGGGGAATACCTTAGCAACAAGGGGGAGACCTCCTAGGGGTCAGCCCCGATGACGGAGAATGCCACGGCTAGCGGCGAAGGTGACCGAACGGCTGGCCATCGAGGGAGGCGGCGCGGGAACGGCTGACCCCCACCCAATCATTAGGGGAATGGGGAGAGAGGCAGGTAGGGAGCCACGGCCGACGGTGGAGGAGCCAAGGGAGGGGGTGACGGCAGCGGCCGGTGGTGAGCACGGGAGACGGGCACGGGCGGGCGACTGGCGGTGTCGTTTGGCGGGCACGAGGAAACAAATGGAGAGACAGAGGGAAGAGGAAGCAGCGTCGTGGGCCTATAACTGGGCCTGTCGCACCGTGGGCGATGGCACAGCACTGCCATGCCAAGATGTGCAGCGCGGCAGCGCCTGGCACGTCAGCTGGTCAGGGTAGGCCTGCAACGGCGACGGCCGACGGCGAGCATAGGCGATGGGCACAGGAGACTGGTGGCGACGTCTGGTGGCCACGGGTGAAAGGAAATGAATGGAGAGAGAAGGAAGAGGAAGCCACGTCGTGGGCCTGTAGTTGGGCCTACCATGCCATGGGAGATGGCGCGACACTGCCACGCCAAGATGTGCGAGGCGGCAGCGCCTACCACGTCAGCCGGTCAAGGCCAGTGCCCCTGCCACGTCATCACCGTTGCCACACAGCGATGCATGGCGCGGCAGCGTTGTTTGGCCACGCCGTGGCAATAGGCGCGGCCAAAAGTGTTAGATTTGAAAAAAAAAAAGTGTCAAATTTGGAAATAGTTTTGTCAAAATAAAAAAATTCCTAATTTGCACCTTTTTCTATGCCCACTAGCCACAAGACATCACTTTTCGTATCTTGTAGACATTTTTCCTTGGAATATAGGTTTTTTAGAGTCCTTGGAATATAGTTATGCTAACTAGAATATTATTTTGTTCTCCTAAATCTGAATAATGTTTCTGTATATATTTTTATTATTTTACTTTTCTACTCCTAGATTGGACTGTTTTTCTCTTGATCTATAGAATGTCATTCACCTAAACCTACAATGTCATTTTCCAAAAAGGATGGATATTTAATTGATATTCAGATAACAAGTCAACATTGTAGGCCTTGTAGGGATGCAAGTGGACAAGCCCGTGAACCCACTGTATAGGCTAATTTTTACGGGTTCTTAGCGACAATTCACAGAATTAAACTTATATATGGGTTCACATGCTAGCTCTAACAACATCTACAAGAGTTTCCAAAATTCACTTCCATTCTCGACTTTTTGGCAAAACTAAAAAAAAATTGCTCTCCAACCACACCTTATCTTTCTACACTTAGGAAAAACAATCCAATCACACGAAAATATCCGCGTGCTTATCGACACATCAATGTGGTAGAGGTGGAAGGACGTGGAAAGAATAATGAGCAGGATAGGATTCTCAATGCAAATATATAAGAGAGAAAGAAAATATAAAAGTGGTTGGAGTGATTTATAAATACTATGGGATTCCTGGTGCAAAATTATAAATAGTATATTATAGAGCATCTCCTACAGTTCCCAATACATCTCCCCCAATAACATATTAATGGGGGTAGCCCAATATTACTTTTCAAAGTATTGGGAGAGATGCTGCAATAGATCTTCAATAATCTCCCCCGATACGTGGGACCCAGCTGTCAGTTTGTTCTTCTTCCTTGGTCTATACCTGGGCTCTGCTCTGCTCCTTCATCGCCCCCAAATTGAAGCTCCTTCATCGCCTGCAGTGCTCTGCTGCTGAGGCGCGAAGAGCCCGAGGCCGCGCTTGTGACCGTCGGCGAGGGCCGCTTCTTCTCCAACGGCCTCGACATTAGGTGGGCGGGCACCTCCTGCGCACGCCTCAGCGAGCTCATCGCCATGCTCCGCCCGCTCGCCGCCGACCTCCTCGCAGTTCCCATGCCCACCGTTGCCGCCGTCACCGGCCACGCCTCCACCGGCGGGTGCCTCCTCGCGCTCTGCAACGACTACCGCATCATGCGCGGCGACCGTGAGGTGCTCTACATGAGCGAGATCGACATCGGCCTCCCGCTCCCACCCAACTTCATGGCTGTGCTGGAGGAGGTCTAGACAGAGGCGGACTCCGTAGCTGAGGAGGCCCGCTCTGAGATGTCGTGATCCAGACAGAGGCGGACTCTATGACGCCATAGCGGCCGAGATGCTCATGGCGGCCAGCTCTAACTGGAGCCTACAAAATGAGCAAGGGTGGAGCACGCTCTAGGCGGCCATCTGCACGCGCGAGGTGGGAGGTGCTCCAACGGTGGTGCTCCCATGGCCGACAAAGAGGGAGGTGGCAGTTACTGTGGGGCCCAACCTACTGGGGGAGATGTAACTCCCCTTCATTTGAGGAAAGATGAGCAAGATATTGGTGGCCACCAAAAAATGAGGGATATTGGGGGACTGCTAGAGAAAGAAAAGTGGGTTATCTCCCCTAATATGACTGTTTTATGGGGATGAGGGGTGGGATTGGGGGACTGCTAGAGATGCTCTTAGGAGCAGGATTTAGAAACTGCTAGTAGAACCCAACAAATATGGGGATTGCTAGTGCCCAGACATCATGACAGACGCCCGTGTCTAGATGCCCACGCCTGCACTCCATTTCACGTGCCAACGCGGGGGCCCGCGCCACTCGGGCGTCGCCCGCACCGCTCGACCCCACATGGGGACCGCTCACGCCCCCTCCACTTCCCACGCGCATGCACATGGGACCGTTTGAGCCCGCTCAGCGGCGCCCGAGCAGCTGCAGTAGGTGGTTGTGGTATGTGGGTCCCATTGCAACATGTGCAAGTGCAACACCAGATCTACATTTGCTACATCCAGACGAAACACTTGCAACACACATCCAAAACAACTGAAACATTTGCAAAATACCTGAAAACACTTGAAAACCATCGCAAACGTATGCAACATCCAGATAAAACACTTGCAACATATGTTTGAAAATAGATAAAACATTTGGAACAGATGCTTGCAACATACGTGTATAGCCATTGTAACATATGCAACATCTGGATCTACTTTTGCAACATCCATATGAAACACTTGCAATATACCTCTGAAACATCTGAAACACTCTAAACATTCACTTGCAACATGCGCTTTTAGCAAAACCTAGCAGGCGGGCAGGTGGGCAGATCACTGCATAGTGGGATCGGCGCTATGTCGTGGAGAAGGAGGATGCAGCGGCCGGTTGGCTGTGCGGCCCCCGGTGAGCAGCTGCGTTGCCCTAGGCGAAAGGGAGGGTGCCGTGCCCTTGGCGAGCTGAGCGGCACCTGCGTTGGAGGCGGAAGCGGCAGTCGAGCCGGTGTGGCCTCCTACAGCAAGGCGCCCCCGCGCTGGAGAATGCAAGCGGCGGTGGGTGACGGCGCGGTGGAAGCGTCCATAGCGGTCGGATGCCTTGGTGCGGTGACGGTTGGATGTCGACATTGTTAAAACTTATATAATCACTAGGAGCATAGATCTAGCCGGGTACTTGCTGTTGAATAGAATCATGAATCCTAGAACATCTACTAGTGTAGTAACAGTAGGTAGAACAAGAGAAAGGGAGGGGTAGAAGATGGACGTGTCAAACCTGACACCGCAGTGGAGGAGGATCTGTTCGCATCCGCCATGGAGTCGGTGTCTGCACTAGGGTAGCGACGGTCGAGGAAGACGAGTGGCGACGTAGTGCAGTGGTCGCGGTGACGCAGTCTGGTGGCGGCGCGGCTGGTGGCTTTCCTTCACTGGCTGCGCGCCCTCTAGATCGGGTTTAAGGTTTGTCGATGGGGAGCTCGGCTCAGGCAAACCTCGTGCTTAGAGCCGCTGGCCCCCACCTCTATTTATTGCGCAGTATGACAGGGGCCCTCTAGCCATATTGGGCTAGGCGCCCCCGATCAGGGCACGGATCAAAGGCCCAACTGAGCCGTTGGGCCTAGTTTGGGATTAGAGATCAATCTAACAATCTCCCCCTTGATCTCCTACCATCTTTTAATTTCATATCATTTACTTTTGTTCATTCCATTACAGATTGGCGCATAGAGCATGTTTCATCGTTACGGTCAATTGCCGATAGATTTAACAACTACAGCGCACCACTCTGTTCTGAAATAGATACTTAACTTTGGGCCTTCTTTTGTCTAGGAATTATAGGCTTTCCCTTAAACCCATGCCGGCTACATGTTCTCTGAACACGTTGAGTGGTAAGCCTTTTGTAAGCGGATCCGCGAGCATCTTTTCGGTACTTATATGCTCAAGACTTATGACATAATCCTAGACTTTATCTTTCACAACATAATACTTTATGTCAATGTGTTTGGCAGCACCACTTGACTTATTGTTGTAAGCATACTATACTGCCGAATTATTATCGCAGTATAACTTAAGTGATCTATAGAAGTTGTCAACCACCTTCAAACCGGGTATGAACTTCTTTAGCCAGTTCACCTGCCCCGTTGCCTCATAACACGCTACAAACTCGGCATACATTGTGGATGATGTAGTGACGGTTTGCTTTGAGCTTTTCTATGAAATAGCTTCCCCTGCGAGAGTGAATACATATCCAGACGTGGATTTTCTATCATCTCCCGCATAATCAGAATCTAAATATCCCACTATATGGAGTGAATCTGATCTTCTATACGTCATCATGAGGCTTTTTGATCCTTGCAAATAACGCAAGACTTTATTTACTAATTTCTAGTGTTCTGTTTCAGAATTACTCTAGAATCTACCAAGTAACCCGGAAACAAATGCCAAGTCAGGGCGCGTACATACTTGAGCATATTGCAAGCTTCCGACGGCTGAAGCATATGGACCGCTTTCATTTGATCGATCTCATATTGGTTCCTGGAGCATTGAAAATCCCCATATCTGTCGCCCTTGACTATAGGAGCAGGTGAGGCACTATATTTGTGCATACTAAATTTCTTTAAGATCTTTTCTATGTATGCCTTTTGTGATAGTCCTAATACCCCTTTACTTCTATCTCGGTGAATCTCGGTCCCTAGAACGAACGAAGCTTCACCAAGATCTTTCATATCAAATTTTGAGGACAAAAGCTTCTTTGTCTCCAGTAGTAGACTGATATCACTACTAGCAAGTAAGATATCATCCACATACAGGACAAGGAAGATAAACTTCCCATTCTTAAACTTTGCATAGACATAGTTGTCCTCGACATTCTCTTTAAACATAAAATTCCTTATTGTCTGATCAAACTTCAAGTACCACAGTCTTGAAGCTTGTTTTAATCCATAAATGGATTTCTTTAGGCAGCACCCCATTCGTTCTTTTCCTTCCATGACAAAACATTTCAGTTGTGCCATGTAAACATTTTCCTCCAAGTCCCCGTTGAGAAATGTCATCTTTACATCCATCTGATGTAATTCTAAATTGTAATGTGCCACTAATGCCATTATGATTCTGAAGGAATCCTTACATGAGACCGGAGAAAATGTCTCATTGTAATCAATCCCTTCTCTTTGCGTAAAGCCTTTTTCCATAAGTCACACTTTATATCTCTCTATATTCCCTTGAGAGTCAAGTTTTGTTTTGTAGACCCATTTACAGCCTACTATTTTGGCTCATTTGGGAATTATTTCCAAGTCCCAAACTTTATTGGCATTCATAGATTTCATTTCATCTTCCATGGCCTCAAGCCACTTTGATGAATGATCACTTCTCATGGCTTCTTCAAATGAGGTGAGATCATCCTCCATTTGAAATTCCTCAGTGTTGTATACTTCATAGTCAGCAGGAATAGCTTATTTTCTAACTCTTTGAGACCTTCTAGGGGACTCCACATTTGGCACATCTTCTGTTTGAGGCTGTTGTTGCTCCCCCTCATGTGTGACAATAGGTTCTACAGGATCCTAAAGAATAGGTTCCTCATCATCATTCATTGTTGCCATAGGCGGAATAACAACAGGTGCTGGCACCACAGTATCCTGCACTGTCGGTGCAGCGACAGCAAGTAGTGAGAAAAATGGCTCATGAATCATCGGAGTGGGCGCATACACCCGCTTCTCTTTAAGGTCAATTTCTTGAGCTACCATGCTCCCCCTCATCATTTCAACCTCTAGGAAGATAGTGTGTCTCGTTTCCACAAACTTTGTATGTCTATCTAGACAGTAGAAATAAAAACCTTTTGACTTTTCTGGGTAACCAATGAAATGGCAACTTACTGTTTTGGGATCTAGCTTCCTAATGTTTGGGTTAAATACTTTAGCCTTAGCAGGACTCCCCCACACACGTAAGTGGTTTAGTGAGGGTACTCTTCCTATCCACAACTCATACGGTGTTTTGGGCACCGACTTACTTGGAACTCTATTCAGAATATGAATGGTGGTTTTTAACGCATCCATCCACAGGCTCAACGATAAGGTGGAGTAACTTATCATACTGCGCACCATATCCATCAGGGTACGATTGCGTCTTTTAGCTACTCCATTCCGCTGAGGTTCGCCCAGTGTAGAATACTGGGCTACTATGCCATTCTCCTGTAAGAACCTTGCAAAAGATCCAGGAACTTGGCCATATGGGGTATGCCGACCATAGTACTCCCCCCACGGTCGGACCTGACTATCTTAATCTTTAAATTGTGTTGGTTTTCAACTTCTGCCTTAAATATCTTAAAATTATCCAATGCTTCTGTTCTTTCTTTGATTGGATAAATGTAGCCATAACGGGAGTAATCATCTGTGAATGTTATGAACGAATCATAACCATCCACACTCTTTATAGGAAATGGACCACAGATATCTGTGTGAATAATCTGTAAAATTCCTACGCTTCATTTAGCATCTTTCTTAATTTTCTTTACATACTTTTCTTTTATGCATTCTCTGCATTGTTCTAAATCTGAGAGCTCTAATGGAGGAAGAATATCATTCTTAACTAGTCTTTCTATTCTCTCCCTCGAAATATGGCATAAACAACAGTGCCATAATTTCGACGACGCATCGTGAGCTCTCTTTCGTTTTCTGTTTACATGCGTAGACGAGGATACATTCTCATTATCGCATGCAACGTTCCCATCATCGCATACAACTTTCACATCATCACGTAGTGATAACAAATAAAGCTCATTTTGT